TTTTTTTTTGAGACAGAGTTTCGCTCTTGTTACCCAGGCTGGAGTGCAATGGCGCGATCTCGGCTCACCGCAACCTCCGCCTCCTGGGTTCAGGCAATTCTCCTGCCTCGCCTCCTGAGTAGCTGGGATTACAGTCACGCACCACCATGCCCAGCTAATTTTTTGTAGTTTTTTAGTAGAGACGGGGTTTCACCATGTTGACCAGGATGGTCTCGATCTCTTGACCTCGTGATCCACCCGCCTCGGCCTCCCAAAGTGCTGGGATTACAGGCGTGAGCCACCGCGCCCGGCCTATCACAATACCTTATACATGAGAGGGTATCAATAAGAAATTACTCTTACAGGTCTTCTACTTGAAACACTTCTGGTTCCATCAGACAACACTTTCCCACCTTACCTTCTATTCTTTGCCTTAAAAAACAAAACAATTCTCTCTCTCTCTCTCTTTGGGTAGCTTTTGCTTCTCCTTGTATGCAACTTTTACTACCAACCTGTAACTTTTATTCCCTAAGCATGGGGTCCTGGATTTAGCTCTTTGCTCTCCTCTTTCTCTTCCCTGAATTCATATACCTTCATCTCTTCCACAATCACTTTTGCCCTTAAGATTCTGCTACCTCTCCCCAGTCATAGCCTCTTACCTCAGCAATATGACATCACCTGGATACCTGATGGCCTCATACTGCTCCAAACCCAAAATGTTCAAAGTAGGATCACCATTCAAAACAGGTCCCCCCTCAACACCCCCGCTTCTATCATGAATGGTACAATTCTTCTAGGTCACCAGGGTAGAGACACTGGGTAGAGACCTCTGATCATTATGGTTCTATTCTTTATCCAGTCAGTTATCCAGTCCTATTAAGTTTCTTGAATCTATTCCTACTTCCTTTCCACTCCCCTTCCCGTTTTTTTTTGTTTGTTTGTTTTGCTCTTACACTGTGTGTAGATCACCCCCAAAACCTTCATCCTGGCCTTCTCTTTCCCTCATGTTCCCTCCCCACCCAAGAACCCAGAGGGCCCACTACCAAGCTGCCACACCCAATCTGAACTTCTCTGCTTGCTATCAAAGAGCTATCATTTGGGATCTACTCTACTTATTTAACCTTATTTTCTGCTGCTCTTAAAAATATCTGTGTTCTCATATCTCTACTAAAACACATTTCACATTATACTCTTTACACAGTTCTTTTTCCTGTTAACCAGAGATTTTTTTTTTTTTTTTTTTTGACAGGATCTCACTCTGTCACCCAGGCTGGAGTGCACTGGTACAATCATAGCTCACTGTAGCCTCCAACTCCTGGGCTGAAGCAATCCTCCCACCTCCTGAGAAGCTAGGACTACAGCATGCATCACTATGCTGAGCCAATATTTGTTTTTTGTGGAGATAGGGTCTTGCTATGTTGCCCAGGTTGGTCTCAAACTCCTGGCTTCAAGAAATCCTCCCACCTTACTCTCTCAAAGTGCTGGTGTTACAGGCATAAGTCACCATGCTCAGCTTAACCAGGAATGCCTAAGCTTATGTTAGTTCCTATAGGAATCAAAACAGAGCACAGTAACTCAGTTGGTATTTAAAAGGAATTTGTTGAATAGGTAGATTGATTGTTACTCAGGATATGATCAGACAGGAAGCTACTGGAGTAAACCAGCTATAAAGTGGAAAAGTTGCCCTCTTCCAGGTTCTTGTATCACCTTGTATCAAATACTTTCCTTCCACAACACTTACCCCAACTTTAAATTACATATCTAATTGTGTAATTTGTTAAATGCCCATTTCTTCATCTATTATAAGTGCTATGCAGAAGAGGCAGTTTGTTCCTTGCTACCCCCCAAGGCACAAAGGAGTTCAAGGAATGTGCAATGAAAATTAGTTAAGACAAATGTGTTAGGAACCTTCCCTTTAATAAAGCTGGATCCCACACTAGCCCCTACACCCTCTCATCACCAAATATTCCTGCTTCCTCTCACCTGCACCTGCTGTTCTCTCCTCTCCTACACAAATCTACTTCTCCAGCCTGGGTCCTACCTGCTTCATAACAACTTTCCTGACTATTCCAGACCCTTTATCCATCTCCGACTTTTCATCACATCTATGTTGTACATAACACCAGTGATCTCTTAATAAGATCATTACTGCTTTATGCTCTAATTGCTTCCTGTATCTGAAATATTCTCCCCAACTACATATGAATCCTAAACTTCTCTTGTATCTTCCAATACCTTGTACAAGCACAGAATTAGTCAATCAATAAATACTCACTAAGTATTTGAGGAAAAAAATGATGCCAGCTACCATCTTTAACAGAAACTAAATCAATTCTTCTAGCCTTGGAGAAACCACCCTATTCCTCGTATGTGATCCTAATCAGAGCAACTCAGATGACTTGGAGATTAACGTATCTGAACCTTAATTTGTAATAAATATGTCCATAAATTGGGAATATGATATAGTATCAAAAATCAAATGCTACTTTAAATGTAGGAGGAGATTACCAATAGAATAAATCCATGAATCATTTTCTAAAGCAAATGATTCCTCCCCTAAGTCTTCATTAATCACATCCTAAAATAACATTTTATTATCAGATGATTCTCTTATCATAAAGAGAATAAGACTTGGGAAAGATAAGAAACTCTGAGGAAAAAACATCTGGAGGAAATTCTCATTCTGGCTTGAAATGTCATGTTCTCCTGAACCTTAACCCCATCTTCATTGCACAGAGCTGGCTTTTAAAGGATAATTTGTGTCCTGTATTATTAAGGCAATAAACAAAAATAGAAAATGAGGAAAATAAGATACACTTGGCATTAATTCTTAAATTCATTCATTCATTTATTTATTCCACAATATAGTGGAATCTACATTACAGTGAGCATCTACTACACACCACATATTATACGAGGCACTGTGGGACACCAGACAAACTTATACAGTCCACTATGGGAAGATAACAGAAGGCAGACAGTGCAGAATGCCCTAAGAGAAGAACAAATAAAATGCTGTAAGAATTCAGAAGATGGAGAACTTTCTTTCTTCTGGGAGAATCAGGAAAATTTCCTGGAACAAGGAGCACCTGAGATGGGTCTTAAGACATGGGCATGGCTTAGACATGCAAAGATGTAAAGACTGACCACATAAGCTCAAATAACAGGATGCCAGTGACCCACTGGAGTGAGTGTTCTGTTTGGCTAAGGTATGGTGGAACAGAAACAAGAAAAAAGGTTGGAAAGCTGTTTGAGACCAGATGTAGAGGGGCTTAAAGACCAAGCCAAAAACCATGTACCTCTGTTACAGAACAGCACTTCTCAAATGTCAATGTGCACACAAATCACCTGGGGATCTTGTCATAGCACGACTGGAGTAGGACCTGAGATTCTTCATTTCTAACCGTGCAGATGATGCTGACACTGAGAGACTGCAATTTGAATATCAAGAACATAGATAGGCTAGGTATGGTAGCTCACACCTGTACTTCCAACACTTTGGAAGGCTGAGGTGGGAGGATTACTTAAGGCCAGGAGTTTGAGACCAGACTGGGCAACATAGCGAAACCCTGCCTCTAGAGAAAATAAAGTAACAATAGCTGGGTATGATGGTGCACACCTGCAGTCCCTACTCAGGAGGGAGGCTGAGGCAGGAGGATCACTAGAGTCCAGGAGTTTGAGGCTGCAGTGAGCCAAGATCATGCTATTGCACTTCAGCCTGGGTGACAGAACAAGACCTTATCTCTAATAACAATCATCATCATAATAAAAAGAATATAGACAATGGGGAGACATTGAAAGTTTTACAGGAAAAAACTCTCTGATCATTAGTGTGTTCCAGGAAGACTAATTACAACCACAGTGAAGCAGGCAGATTGGAATGGGGAGAAGCTGCAGATCAGGCATGTCAAACCCACCGCCTGTGGGCCACATGGGAGCCGTCCAGCCCAACACAAATTCGTAAACTTTCTTAAAACATTATGAGGTTTTATTTGTTTTTCGCAATTTTTTTTTTTTTAGCTCATCCACCATTGTGTTGATGTATTTTACGGGTACACCAACACAATTCTTCTTCTTCCAGTGTGGCCCAGGGAAGCCAAAAGATTGGACACCCCTGCTGTGGACTGTGGTCCTCAATGCTGGCTGTTCATTAGAATCACCTGGGAAGCTTTTACACCACCCTGTTATCCAGGCCCCACTCATTTAATTGGTCTGGAGTGGGGCCCAGATTTCTGTATTTTTTTTAAAGCTCTCCAGGGAATTCTAATGTGCAACCAGGGTTGAAAATCTCTGCTATAGAAGATATAGTAAATACTGCAGTCATTCAGGCAAAAAAGATAATGATCTAAACTAGGGCAATGGCAGTGGGAACCAGTGGGGGCCAGCTGTATAAAATGAAGTAAATGTAGAAGAAATAGACCTTAGCAATGCCTAGACAGGGATTTAGATATAACAGTTTCAACATCATTTATTTCTTCTAGTTAAAGACAGTTTGGTGAAATGGTTAAAAATAAAGACACTGGAGCCAGACTGCCTGGGTTTGAATTCCAGCTCTACTATTTACTAGGGGTGTGTGAGTGAGTGTGAGAGTGTGTGTGTGTGTGTGTGTGTGTGAGACAGAGAGAGAGAGAGAGAGAGAGAGATTGACAGACCCTGAGTTAACCTCTTTATGCCTCAGTTTCCTCATCTATAAATTGGCGATAATAACAATAACCATCATATGGAGTTGTTGGGATCAAGCAAGCTAACATATATGTAAAGCCCTTAGTAGTATGCCTGGCAATAGAGCTATAAATGAGTTTGCTGTTATTATTAGCATGGTTCATCACGTATTCTCATCTCTGTGAAATGTTGAATTGCACATAAGACTGATCTGGAAAAGGAGACATCCTTGAGGGCTTTCAACCAATCTGAATCTAGTACACTCCTGAATCCAGATGAATCTAAGTGGCGCACCCTGCCCCCATCCACCCTGGACACCATTCCAAGATCTTTGAGAGTAACAGCCACAGAGCCCCTACTTGAATTGCTGGTCCTTGGTGCTGCGTGTCTTGGCCAGGAAGCGTTCAGCCAGCTTCTCCAGGTTGCGGGAGTAGTCCATCTCAATCTCTGCCTTCTTTCGGAAGAAGTCCTGGAGGTCCTGCAACAGTTGCACTCGGAGCTCACACTGCTGGTCCAGGCATTTCATCTGCTCTGTGAGCTGAGCACGGATCTCTACAACAAAAACAAGAGAAGACAGTCAGAAAGACAGCCTTAAATATACCAACCGTGCGTATCCATATTCACCCACCTTCCATTTACTTATTCCCTGTGCCCCAGGAAATTCAAAGCCCTAAACAAAAAAGCCTAAAGTCTAAACTGGCCATATGATATGAGCCACTTCCAAAAACTCCAATCCTTTTTATACCGCTAAAGAACATTGTGAACCAGGAATCTGCTGAATCACTTAGGAGATGCTCCTTATTAAACATAGTAATATTCCTATCTACCATTTAAATTACTGTATTTCTAGTAGCACAGAGTCAGAATCTGGCTGTCTTCTGGCAGAGGGCCCAAATGAATTATCACCCCTACCATCCTATGAGGCAGGTGCTACCTCATCCCCATTTTAAAAATGAGAAAACTGAGTCTTAAAGAAGTCAAACTTTTAAGTGGTGAAGCTGGGGTTCAAATCCAGACAGACTGACTTTAGAGCCCTTGCTCCTACTTTTTGCACTTTTCCCCATCATTTCAAAATGTTGTTTAGCATCTTCATGAAGTAGGATGAAGGTTAGGACATTTTAATGGAGATAGAAAATTTCCCAAGGTCAAATGGTAGCAATCAAGACCAAAACAAGCACAAGAACTTCTAGGCAAGCAACCCATTCACTGTCAATCAGATTCCACAGTTTCCAATGTCACAGAATGAAAATCATTTTTTAAGAAGACTTGGAAAGAGATTTTTGTTTTGACTAACAAATATCACTCATATCTGTGTTGCTTAATCTTCATGGATGCTGAATAGACGCTGAAGTGCCTCTGCAGTGTCATAGCTAGAAATATTTCTGGTTAAGCTCTAGCATGCAGATTTCTGGCTGGTCAGTCCTTGTAGGGAGCTAGCAAATATCCTCTCTGGAACTGTTGCAAAGGCAGCTACAGATGCGACCAGATCCGCCTCAAACGCAGCACTGCATTTGTTACTGATGAGAGACCTGGCAGTCACAGGAAGCAGTCTGCCAAAGCCAGACTGATTTTCAGCTCAGAGAAGGCCTGCAGTTTGTATCCTGTTGAAGTTATGTCCCAATCCCCATCTGAGTCAGAATGGAGCCATTTCTTTCATCCTTTTCCTCTGCAAGCCTGATCAGCTCCAAGTACATTAGGATGTGACAATGACACCAATCCCACAGAAAAGGAGCACCTAAATTATGCCTTTTCTTATTATGCACACCCCAAATTTATTCCCAAATAGTACAGTTGTAACAATACTTTCTATGCTATGTAACGCATCATTATGGGGAGAGGGGGTCTAGAGTTTTCACATGAGCTGCAGATACATCAGAGGCAAATGAGGATCAGAACTATGATGCTGAAATGTTCATGAAGCAATGAGGATGGGTAAATGATGCATTTAGCTTTGTCTTGAAATAGTTGAGGCTCCATAATCCATCTCCATCTACATTTTTGTTTCTGTTTTTACAAATATCAGTATGTCCTTTGTGGATGATCTCAGGTGATCTGTAAGCACAGTTCCCACCCTCTTCATCCTCATATCTCTCCCTGTCAACCACCAATGCCAACCAGCCTGCAGTAACCTCACCTGAACTGAAACTGAGCTCCGAAGGATTGTTTCAAGCAGACAGAAGGCTGTGCAGAAAAGCTGCCTACCTCATCACTCATCAAAGCTCTCTTATTCTGTGTTTTATGGAGTCTGATTACAAGGGTGTTGAGGGTAACGATCTACAGAAGTCATGTCAGGCATCTGGTTCTTGCCAGGGTTTTTTGGTCGCTTAAAGGTAACAGCCCTTGTTGAGACTGTTCCTGGAGGCATCTGTCCTCCTTCAATGTATTAATGAAAAGCTGACTGTAATAGACATTGGGTGGGCAGACCATGCAATGAGAGGGCATTCAGAATGCTAACTAGTATTACTTAAATCTCATCCATGAAGTAAGAACCAGGGCCTCTTAGGATGTAAAGGCTTTCCAGGAACTGAATCAGTAACAGATGTACAGGGGATATGGGTGGGCAGTAGGCTGTCAGGTCCCTCTGAGTCCCCTGTAATGCACTTGAGAATTTGCCTCAGTTATCTCACTAACCAGGGGAATAGAAAGGAACAGTTAGTTGGATGACAGCCACCCTCTGCCAAAAAAAAGAGGGAACCAGGCAAAGTCCCATGAAGTTCCAGAAGCAGGCCACTCCAGAGTTATCCTGTCTAAGGAACAAGTACTTCATAGGATGCCTCTGAGATATATGATTTAATATAAGAAACCCCCAAGCACATCCAGCCAGCAAGGAATTCCAGCCTGACTTTGTCAGGTGCCTCAATGAGGGTATCACAGTATACGCTGCAGCATAGGTACTCCCTCTGGGACCCTGAAGGGAAGGAAGCATGTGTTTACTGAACACATTTTATGGGCCTTTTAATATATCATCTCATTTAATTCTCAAAGGTAGTCTGCAAGGTAGCCACAATTATCCTGATTACACTAAGGAGAAAACTGAAGTAAGACTCACTAAATAATTTACCAAAGGGTCAACAGTTGTGCAAATGGAGCTGGAGCTAAATTAAGGTTTGTCTGACTTGTCAAAGAGGTTAATAATAGGTCAGAGAAACAAAAACGAGAGAAACAGAACACCAGTTTGGAGTCTCTGAAGGTATTTCTGGGTAAATCATGACCAAAGTGACCATGCCTCTTACTCCTGGAACATCAGCTTTTCCACCTTCCAGCTGAGGGTTGATTCAGGCCCCTAAGACAAGTTTGGAATCGCCCACCGACTCATTAGCTAGCTATGTTTCAACCTGTCCACAACCAGACTGGATCCCTTCCCCACTTCCTAGATCTACTCTATAGGACAGCTTAATGGGAAGTTCTTCTCTTGCCCTGTGAGTGCACCCTGAGGTCTACCAGGAAGCCTAGAGGACAGAGACTGTGAGAAAGCAATATTGCCACCCCTGACCCAGGAAAAAAAAGGGGGGAGGGGAATGCTGCTAATAGATACCACCTGCCAGTGTGGTTTATTTGTTATATGACACCACTGAGCAACTTCCCTCCCCCACTACTGGCCAAAAAGGAGAAGGGGAACAAGAAGGAGGAGGAGGAAGAAGGAGGAAGTGGAGAAGGAGAAAGAAAAGTAGAAGAAAAGAAGAAGAAAGAAGAAGATGCCTCCCTTGTTACCATCCTCAAAGCATCCACTCAGGCATTTAAGGGAAATTCTAACCACTCTCACTCTTAGATGTACAGCTCCAAGACAGGACAATTGTTCTATCCAGGGCAAAATGTGTTCCCTTAGGCACTGCTGCTGCTGCTGCTGCTCCTACAAAGACAAACAATGGTCCCCAAGAAGGCAGCTATGCTGGCCGCAGTCCCCATCCATGCACACAAGGGGCATGAAACAACGGGCCACTGAATAGCAGCACTCCTGGGCCATGTGCCCAGGCTAGAGGCCCCTCTGAACCCTGGCCTATCAACAAACAAAAGGGTAGAAAGAAGAAAGAAGCAATTATAAAAACATAGAGGAATTCCTCACAGTTCCCTCGTGTGCTTAGGCGAGCATGCATATGCACATCATGTGTGCACACTCAGACTCACACCACTCAAACCACTTATACCATGCTTCATGGTACCAACTCAAGAAGGCTTTACAAATCTGGTTTATAGTTGAATGAGAGAGTTCTGTAGAGTTATGGAGATGGTTGGGTCCTTGCCAGTTCCTTCCCTAGAGATACAGGGGAAGAAATCAAGCTTTCACTTTTTAGAAGCAGCTATATCTTAGGGGTATGAACGAATTACCTGGCTAGTCACAAAGCCAAAGCACTAAGGTCACCATGAGCCACCTGGAGTGCTACATACTCCCAAACAGCCTCCACTGAGCACCTAATAGAGCCCATTTATTCAGCAAATCTTACTGAGCCTCTCCTGCATGGAGGCACTGTGCTAGGTGAGGCTGACAAAGGAGAAAAAGACAGGTTTAAGCACTATCCTAATGAGGCATGGCTTGACAAAGAAGAGAAAGGACAAAAGAACACAGAAAGTCTTATTGCTTCCGCTTTAAATATTCTTTATTATAACAAAGCTGTGGATATGAGCCCCAACCTGAAGATCTAAGATTTAAAAATCATCAATAGCAGGAAAAAAATCACATAACAAGCCTAAGAAAAGTCTAATGTCTTCTGACATTTTTTCCTATTATGTTTTTCAAAAATGACACTTGAATAAAAATTGCAGCTTCCCTTGCAAGAGGAACCAAAAATTTTTAAAAGGTTCTTGAAAATCAGAGTTGACCTCTGGTTGATATTTCATGCAAATTCAAGACAAATTTAAACCTCACTGTTTTGAAATTAAGATAGCGACGATTGTTGCTCAATTTTGTGAATATGTTTAAACAACTGAGCTGTACACTTTAAAAGACTGAATTTTACAGTATGAGAATTATATCTCACTGAAAAAAAAGATTAAAAAATTTAACCCCACCAAGTAACGTATTCTGTTGAGCAGCATCTACCAGTGAAGGGGAAAATAACCCAACAAACAGGAACCAAAAGGAGGAACAGATTCTTGGTTTCCATTTCCCCATGTGTATAAATTAAATGAATTCTGCATTGACTATTCCTACTAAAGCAAATCTTGGATGCTGCCCCTCTAGGCAGTAGGCTTGGCCATGACATTGAACTCCACTGGTGGATCACCATTCCATCATTTCTAAAGGGTGTCAGATAAAGACCTGGCAGGGAGTATTTTTATATGTGAATTCAAATCCAGGATCACAAGACACACTCACAAAGCTTCCCCCTGGAAATGCTGCCTCCTTGTCCATGCTTGGCCACAGCTGAGATACTAACTACACTCGTCCTGATATTTAGAGAGAGGCTTATTTCCTTTTTAGAAAGATGCGGAAGGGTCTCAATAAACATGCAACTGGAAGAAAAACTAGCCCTAATAGGATACTGATCATTTAACAAAAACAGGCAGGGCTCTGCCACACTGACAATCACGTAGACTCTAAATTATAACACCTG